TGCTTTCTAAATAAAATATGATTTTCTAAAATAATAAAGGGTTAAAGGACAAAAGTGCCCTATAACTTTTTCTCCAAAAATGTTTGGAATTCTAGACTTATTTTGAGCATTTTTGCCCTAAAAGTTTCAAAAAAAGAGCGTTATTGCCCTGTCATTAAATATTAAAAACGTTAATCATTAAACTGAAGTTTGACTAAGAATATTTTTATATTTTGTCCTTTCTTTTGTATTTAATCCTTGATTCGCTCTCTAATGAATTCTTAATTTTTCTTCCTCCAACGAATGAAAATGAGGACAGAAAAGTGCAAAAATGAAGAAAGAAAAAATAGTAAAATACCCCGGTCAAACTTCAGTTAAAGATCAACATTCTCAATATTTAATGGTAGGATAAAAATGTTCTCTTTTTGAAACTTTTAGGCCACAAATGTTCCAAAAAAAGGTTTAGGATGCTAGGCACTATTGGAAAAAAAGTTCCAAAGCATTTTTACTCTTTAACCCAATAATAAAATCACACATAATTAATTACAAAACATGCACAGATAAAAAGGTTATATTGTGGCTTGGTCAACAAGTTTCACTTCACAACATCTAGTACATCACACTCTTTGTCAACACATTTTACACAAATTTTTCATAATGCATAATATTAGTCTCAAGTTTGAAATCAATAAATGACTCTAATTATAGAGTTAAAAAGTCTAGGCATAAACCTATAATTAATGCTAATTTAAGGTTAGCATCATATTTAACCTTTCCACACTTCTTTATAAAATTCTCACATACTAACAAGCTATAATTAATTCTCAATTCACTTTTAACATCACAATTTCACCCTTCCATTTTCATAAATTCGTCCAAAAAAAATCAAAAAAATAAAAAATTGTACTCAAGCCTTAAATCACCATTTCCAAATTTTAGAAATATTTAGTTATACTCAAACAAACATGAGTCATCAGAAAATATCCCAAAAATTTGAAAACCTATCAAGCCCTAATTTCGAATGCATTATTACTTTTGTTGGGCAAATGCACCATTACTTGATTAATGATAATTCATAAAAATTGATCTATCAAATATATTTATAAAATTGCAACAATTTGTTAATTTTAGAATGCAAAAAATTTAAAAATTATAACTATTTTCAATTTCAACGTTCAAAAGAACTTTAATTTTTTTTTAAATATCCATACCAATGATATATCCTGGGATTTGTTTTTTTAAGGGGGAAAAAACGCGACTATCGGGCATGTTCCCCTTGTTCTAATTAATAACAATATTTTAATAATACAAAAGAAAAGGAAATATCAGTGAGGGCAATTTGATTGCATACTACAGCCAAAAAAAATATTTTCCCATGTGCTACATTTTCAAAAATATTTTCTCGTATATTATAAATTTAAAAATTGATTTGATGTATATTGAGTTTGAAAATTTTTTTTAATATAAAAGTATGAAACTTGGCTTCAATAAAGCCAAGTTCTATACTTTATTTAAAAAAAAAAAGTTAATGTGATAAACTAACAGTCTCCTCTATTCTTTTTCTTTACATGAATAATTATCTATTTCTCCTTATGTTTTATTATATTGTTCAATATCTTGAAAAATCTGAAGGTATTGTCACTTTCTACTTAGACTAATACGAATTTCTACCTTGTGTGATTGTTATCTATGCAGATTTAAATAGAAATTTTATATTTAAAATATTTCATTTTAAATCTGACATTTAAAATTCATGTGTTTAAAATTATTTATTTGGATAATTTAAAAAGTTTCAAATGAAAGAGAAAGATAAGTTGATATTTAAAACAAAAATAAAAATTAAAAGTGATGTATTAACTTTTGTTTCTTAATTGATGAGAAACAAGAAATAAAGATAAGAAGACAAGAAAACATCAATAATAAAAATATGAGAATGAAATGTTTGAAATAATTGAAATTTTAATTGACAACGGTATGAAGGAAATTTAAAGTTACAGGAAAAATATAATAAAAAATAGATAACTTTGGATTTGAAACTTAAATTTTTGTGTACTAAAAAAAAGAGATTTGATCCAATTCAAATTTTTATTAACCCAAACATACTTGTGTAAACTTATTAATCCAAATTTCTCATGTTTTTATTATTGATATCTCCATATTTTCTTATCTTCACTTCTTGTTTCTCATCAATTAAAAAATAAAAGTTAACACATCACTTTTAATTTTTGTTTTTGTTTAAAATATCAATTTATCTCTCTCTTTCATTTGAAACTTTTTAAATTGCCCAAATAAAAAAATTTAAACACATGAATTTTAAATGTCATTTTTAAAATGCGATATTTTAAATATAAAATTCATATTCAAATTCTCATAGATAACAATCATAGACGGTGAGAGTTTGTATTAGTCTGAGCCGGAGGTGATAATACCTCCAAATTTTCTAAAATATTGAACAATAAAATAAAAAATAAGAAGAAATGAATAATTATTCATGCAAAGAAAAAAAAGAAAGAGAAGTCTGTTAGTTTATCATATATAAAACTTGACTTGATTGAAGTCAAATTCTATAGTTTTATATGAATTTTTTTTTTGAAACTCAATAAGTATCAAACCAATTTTTAAATTTGTAGTACATGGAAAAATATTTTTAAAAATGTAACATATGGGGAAATAATTTTTAATTTTTTTGCTGTAGAATTGCAGTCAAATTGCCATTAGGGAGAGTAAATGCTGACTTGAAAACTTGGGGGAAAAATTGCTGACTTGAAAAGATACGACATTATCCATCTAGCGAACACAGTTGGTGAGCGCTCTTGCTGCTCAATCTCAGCCTTTCATTTTATTTTAAAATGTTTTTTATCGTTCATTTAAATAAATTTTTTAAATATTTTGTTTATTAATATAAAAATTATAAAAATTTTAATCTTAAATTTGAATTATTTTTTTATACTTATCAGTGAATGAATACCATAGTGCTTATCATCTCCAAGAGACTTGAATTATCAAAATTTCAAAATTTTTATTTTATATTTATTAAAATAACAAAATTATAAAAAAATTTAATAAATTTATTTATTATCAATTTAGTGAGTATAGATTTAATGTAAATTATCAAATTTAAAATTAATTTTTTTTATAATTTCATAATTTGACTATTCACATATACATAAGACAGTTTAAATATAATTTAAATAACCTAATTTAATATTAAAAATTTAAAATTTTAAAAATTAATCATTTAAATATAATATAGTCCTAATTCAATATTAACATTTTTCACAATTTTTATATCAATAAACATAATGTTTAAAAATTAATTTAAATGAATGGATGAGATCATTTTAAAATAAAATAAAAGGCTCAGATTGAACCACGCTTAATGAGCATGTGATGCTTATCACAATTGATGAGCGGCGAATGTGGACGCGCCACATTCCTAGGTTGCTCCCACCCTTATGTTTCTTCGTGTCTCTTCTTTTTTGTATCATCCTCCGTATTTTAATATCTGACTTAACTAGATTTTACCCGGTATGATGCACGAGATATTAGACAAGGGAAAAAGTGAAATATTTTAAGAAGTGTGATTTTTTTTATTGTGTTAAAGTTTTTTTAAAAAATTTAAATTAATTATTTTGCCTCTTATTTCTATTTTTTAAATTCAATCAATTTAAAAAGGTTTAACCTCACTTTTTAACATTTAAAATCAAGTCTGACAAAGTTTTTCAAGTTATAATTCTACAACAATGATAGTGTTATAATTATAAGTTGCAAAATATAATTTTATAAAAGTATAAAAATTTATTTTATTCTATAATTTATTATCTTGTTCTTACTCAGAATAAAAACAATAAAATATTTTATTTAGAATTTATAATCATGCGTTAAATTAATTTAACACAATATTTTTTTATAGGATTGCACACTTATCTTTTTAATAAAATCTGTATAAATTAAATTTTTTATTTTATTGCTGGTTCACACCCACTATTTTTAAAATACCCATAATCTAATTTTTCATTGTTTGTCTTTTGCATTTTTTTTGGCGGACTTCCCATACATTTTGCTTTACAAAAATGAAAAGAAATGCTTAACTTAAATGATGGAAAAAATGACCGGGCTAATTTTTTTGAGACCCACGTAAAAAAGTAAAAATAAAAATTATATACAAATCTCATAAAGTAAAATTATTTATAAATGAAGTTTACTAAATTTTAAATGAAGGTTTCACACTCACATTTTTTTAAAATATATCTATAAAAAAGGTAAAGCACCGTAGATAAACGGTACTTTGACACGTGCTTTGTGACATACATAGATTGATTTTCGAGAAGAGCACCTCCAGAACGACGACGATGAAGGGCTTATCCTTGAATTTGGGCCAAATAATAGGTTCTTTTTAGGTCAGGTATGGTCAGGTTTGCTTATCTTAAGGAAAATCCGTAGGATGAGCCATCCAAATTAAGTTTAAATTTAAAAGTATTATTATATATTATATTTATTAAAATAAAAATTTACAAAAAAATATAAAATAATTTAATAATTTTTATTTTTAATTTGATTTAAATTTAATTTAAAAAATCTTATTTAATGTTGAAATTTTTATTTATAATATATATTAATTATTATATACTCTTCCGGTCTTATATATTATTTACTTTTTAAAAATATAATTTAATTTACTTTATAAATTATTAGTTAATAAGATTCTTTTATTTTAAATTAAAATTTTTAAATTATTTTTAAAAAATAAAAAAATAATATTATAATACTTAAAAGTTATATTTAAATTTTATATATTTTTATTTTTTATAATTTTATTATATTAATATTAATAAAATTGATAGAAATAATTTATAAATAATATCATTATACTTGGATAAATAAAAATCACGCCACCCTTCTTTATATTAATACTGATAATTATTTAGTTAATACTGATTATCTAGACTTTGAACAGAGTTCTCCAGATGGTTATAAGGATAAGCACATCCTTGGGACCCACGATTTCCAACCCATTCTATATGCATCACCCCACTTCCTTACACTCTTCCAGAGCTTCTCCGCCGTGTCACTGGCCCTTGAAAAGTGAGGCCTTCTTTTGTTCTCCGCATTCTTATCGATACCGACGATGGCTCAGAAAAGGGTTCTGCTTCTCTGCGGAGATTACATGGAAGATTACGAAGTACCTTAACTTTCACTTCCTTCCCTGAGTATTCCTTTTTTTTTTTTTTTTTTTGTAGTTCAGTTTCTTTTGTGGTCGTTTCTTACTTTCTTAACTCTATTTGGTTCTTTGATTGGTGTTTTGCAGACGATGATTCCATTCCAAGCATTACAAGCCTACGGCGTTTCCGTCGATGCCGTTTGTCCGGGAAAGAAAGCCGGTGATGTCTGCCGCACCGCCGTCCACCAGTTGTCTGTTTATCAGGTATCGATAACGGGATGTCTATTTTGGTTTGGGCAATAATTTAGCATTCAGTGTTGGATATTTGATCTTCAAAGTTGATTTATTCATGCATTTCCTTGCTTTCAGACTTACACTGAGATTCGAGGTCACAATTTTCAACTAAATGCAACGTTTGATGAAGTCGAAGCCAAAAACTATGATGGCTTGATACTACCGGGTGGAAGGGCGCCTGAGTATCTTGCTCACGATCCAAATGTTTTGAAGTTGGTGACCGATTTTGCGAGTTCTGGAAAGGTAATCACTGCGACTTGTCATGGCCAGTTGATTCTGGCGGCTGCAGACTCTGTTAAAGGTCGCAAGTGCACGGCATATCCTGCAGTTAGACCGGCGCTGGTTGCTGCCGGTGCTCATTGGGTTGAACCTGAAAGCTTGTCGTCGACTCTGGTTGATGGTAACCTCATCACTGCAGCTGCATATTTCGGGTTTCCGGAGTTCATTCATCATATTGTGAAAGCTTTAGGAGGCAACATAAGTGGCTCGAACAAAAGGATTTTGCTTCTTTGTGGGGTATGTTCAAGTTATCTAATATTTCTTACATATAGAAATTAAGAACCATGAAATCATATACATACCTGAACTTTGATTGGTTGAGGGTTCAAATCTTAACTCTTTGACTATATGGCAACTTTATCGGGAGAGGTGTAGGCTTTGCTTTCTGAACCTCAGAGGAGATAATCTCTATCTCTGCTATTAGCAGAGTTTACTCCTTGTGCTTACCAAAAGAAGAAGAAGAAGTTAAGAACCGTGAAATCCTATACTTACCTGAACTTTGATTGGTTTTTGATTTAGGCTTTGAGGAATAGAGCTAATTGGTTTATTTGTGCGTCAAGGATTGGGTTTTGGGCCGAGTTTGTACTTAAATACAGAAGGTTTCTGTTGAATAATTTTATCTCCATGCTGTTGGTCACTTTTGCTGGTGTGGATTGATGGAGATATTTTGTATTGGACATTTTCAATTGCAGGATTTCATGGAAGATTATGAGGTAGCCGTACCTTTTCATTCTCTTCAGGCTTTAGGATGCCATGTTGATGCAGTTTGCCCCAATAAAAAGGCTGGTGATTCTTGTCCAACTGCCATTCATGACTTTGAAGGCGACCAAACTTACAGTGAGAAGCCAGGACATGACTTTGCTTTAAATGCTACCTATGATGATGTGGATGCCTCGGGCTATGATGCTCTTGTCATACCTGGAGGCCGAGCCCCTGAGTATTTGGCTTTGAATGAGTCAGTTGTTGCCTTGGTGAAACATTTCATGGAAAAGAAGAAGCCAGTGGCATCTATCTGCCATGGGCAACAGATTTTAGCTGCTGCTGATGTTCTGAAGGTATAATTACTGGTTCACTTATTTGGATCTCCCTGTTTGTTATGTTCTATTTTAGTATATGCTGTCAAGTGCCAACTGTAGGAAGATGTTATATTTGTCATCCTATTTTTTTTTTGTTTTTGTGCTTAAAGAATTTAAATTAGAAGTTCAAATATTAAGTAATCCATGTACTCAAGGCAAAATCTGGTTTTATTTGGATTGTATGTTTGGTTGACATTTCTGGTCCCATCACTTCAGTGTGCTAGTTATTCTTGTTATTGTTGTTTCTCAGTTTAGTATCTTCTCCTTTATACTCAACTTATACAGGCCCAGTTATCCTATCTTCTTTAGATACTTTGCTTATCTTTGCCATCTCTTATCGACCAGCATTATAAAATTGAGTAAAAGATCCATAATTGAAAATATCTGGGCTGGACGGGTGTTAACTTGTACATCAACCCATCAAATGGCATTGTTGTGTGTAGTTATTCTAACCATTGATATTTCTTTGATTAATTCTGTCTTTTGAAAGGATGGCTGGTTCTAGTTGACTATGGGAATAATATGCCAGTAGTTATCTCTTGTTTGTTAGTCATATTCTCCTATTTCTTATACAACATTCAATGGTGAAACCAGGTTGAAAAACACTAAAGTCATTGAATATTTCAAACTCTCATCATACCCCTATTGTAGTTGTTAGTGCAGAATTAAAAAAATTTCAGGTTATTCATTGTTTCACATATGCACTGCTAAAATGACGTGCTTGTATTACTTTTACAGGGAAGGAAATGCACAGCATACCCGGCTGTGAAGCTTAATGTAGTTCTATCAGGAGCAACTTGGTTGGAACCTGATCCAATGCACCGATGCTTCACTGATGGAAATTTGGTGACTGGAGCTGCATGGCCAGGGCATCCTGAGTTCATTTCTCAGTTGATGGTACTACTTGGTATTCATGTCTCTTTCTAGTTTTATTTTTGTATCATTGATGTACTTGGCACCGGCTCTCTTTCTCCTTGTCCCTATCTTATGTATGCATGTTCAGATGTCCACAGAGACTTGTGAGTGTGTACTATGTGAGGCTAACAGTTGGCTTTTGTATAATGGAATAAAGTTGCCGTCTTTCTTTCTATGTAATCTGTTACTTTGGCCAGGAGATTTCTAGGTGGCTATTTACATAGTTTGTTACATAGTTTGCCGAACAAAATTATGCATCTTAGTGTAAATGTGTCCTGGCCTGTTAGTTTGGTCATTGGTGTGTATTGTAGTCTATTTCTGATATTTATGGAGTATCTTTGTCAAGTATGTTACATGGAAAAATGCGTTTATGAGAGTTTTTAAAATTATTTATTAGAAAATGATAAAACAAAAAAGTCAAGATTACTTAAGAGAGTTTGGGAAAATCTGAATAAAAAATTTTGATGACCAAGCATGAGTGTGTATATGATAGCTCATTTGGTATGTAGGAGAGAATGGGATAGAAAATTTTTTGTCCAAAAAAAAAAAAGAAGATTTTATAGATAAGAAACATCTCTTGTCCTCTTGGATAAACAAAAAGATAATAAAGAAGAATACTTACTTATTAATTATAATATAAATATATGATATCAAAAAACTTTTTAATTGTGAAAAAAGATTCCCAACACTGTTTTGGTATTTGTTAATAGTGATATGTATATATTTTTATAAGAACTGATTTAACTCAACTTTTAGGGAACAAAAGAAATGTTGGTGTGGAGAATGATAGCATGGGATGGCTCTAAGTGCCCCTCTTTTAACTGATTTAACTCAAATTTGTTAAGTTAAGCTAAACTTTCGGGACACCTAGCAATATTCACTGGACAAATCACAAAGTTACTTGCAGGACAAAACTTAGTGGAATACACATGCCGCTCGAGCCAAATATTTGGTTTTCAACAACTTTTAGAGATTTTAAGGATTAGATATTCCTAGTGCATAGATAGGCAGGCCTTCCTGTCCCATAAAGTCAGGAAGCATAAGCTGTCATAAATTCTCTATATATTTGTGATTGCAGTTATGGCAGAGGCTTCAGAATATAACATCTCATATCTGATAGAGGTTCTTTGTAGTTTATTTATATTATGGTAGAGACAGCAAAATTGATGTTAAGCTTTATGTCAAGAATTAATTCCTATTCATAACACAACAGTAAAAATAATTGAAGAACTTTACATTTTTACTTTTTGCATTTTTGGGTTAAAACTCCCAAGAGTCTAATTCACTCTCAACTGTAATTTTTTTCCCCCTTTTGGTATAATACTATCATCTGCCTGATAGGGTAATAGTGGAGGCTGTAGCATTAGATTGAAGGAACGAAGCTGACGTGAAGGTGCCTTCTCTAGACCTCAAATTAGTTTCAACAAAGATAGGCATGGTGGGTTTCATGTGCTCCAATAAGCCCTTGCTTTTAAGCAGGAGAACAACTTCAGACATTGTTGGCCTTATTACAGGAGATGCTTGGGTACAAAGCAAACCAATCTCTATGATTTTCTTCACTTCTTCTGGATCATAGTCATTAGGGTCTAAGGTATTGTCCACCAACTTTAAGTGCATGCCTTTCTCATATAGTTTCCAAGCCTGCCACGTATCAAAGTGTCTTAGAGAATAAGGGGGAAGACAAAACATGACAAAACTTTGGGTGGTTTTTTGAAAAAATCTTAAAATTGCATCTAAGTTTTCTTAAGTGCAGGAGTGTCTTACTTGTTGCAGTAGGAATTCGCCTTCAACATCAGGATCAACCTTTAATTCACTGCTTTTTTGGCCACTGATGATTTCTAGAACTACAACTCCATAACTATAGGTATCAACCTTTTCTGATAATTGGCCGTGAATTGCATATTCAGGTGCAGTGTATCCTCTAACAAATGCATATTATTCATGGCAATCATAAGGACAATGATGGAGACAAAAACATGTAAATATCGCAATACAACAAAATCTGAAATAGACTAATGCAACAAGGCTGGTCCATTGACTGATGCATAAATATTATTGATGTCTTATGTGAGACATTTAATATAGTAGAAGTTTAGAAGATTAAACAAATGTAGAATTTCAACTTACAATGTTCCTGCAAATTTTGTGCTAAGATGAGACTGGTCTGTTGGTAGAAGTCTTGCCAATCCAAAATCAGAAATTCTAGGCTGAAGGTGATCATCTAAGAGGATGTTGTTACTCTTTATATCTCTATGTATGATACATACATAAAATTCCTCATGTAAATAGGCCAAACCTTTTGCCGTGCCTAAAATTATTTCATATCGTTGTTTCCAGTTGAGAGAACCTTTGTTTTGACCTGTTTCCAAAGTTTACATTGAAGGGTAAGGAAAGAGGAAGAATGAAACATGAAATCGATTCTCAAAATGTTTCAATTGTAGACCAACACAAATGTTTTCCAAGTTTTTCAATAGAACTATAACATCTGGTTAAGTTTCTGTTAGAAACGTTGATGATATATTGCTGCAATGCTGCATAGAAAATATATCCACGTTATGAACAAACAATTGATGGTAAGAACTTAATGGTTGATAAGAGGTACCAAATAAGAATTTGTCAAGACTGTTGTTCTTCATGTATTCATAAACAAGGATTTTCTCTTGGCCGTTACTGCAACATCCCAAAAGCCGAACAAGATTTCGATGATGAACATTACTTATGAGCTTCACTTCACTTTCAAAATCTTCCCCTATCCTCTTATGGTTGCCTAAAGCTAATCTCTTGACAGCAACTATTTTCCCATTCTTTAGAGTGCCCTGTCCATGGTGATTAAGAATTTCAATCATGAAAGTGATTCAGAAGTTCTGCTTTTGTCTTTGGAAATACAACCTTTTACAGATTCACTTAGAAACATATTTGTTCAAGACTAGATTGAAATATGAAAAAGAAAAAAACGCACACAAGTTTTACCTTGTAAACATCACCAAATCCTCCTTCTCCTAATTTATTTTGTTCACTGAAATTTTTTGTTGCAATCTTCAAATCCTTATACCTGTAATTAACTGGGCCTTTCAGCTCCGTTGCTCCTAATATGTCACCTGTTAAGGTAAGCACAAGTTGAAAACCCTTAACAAGTGAACAAATCAGTGTGGGTAATTTGAGCCATTCCAAGTAGTCTCACCTCTGGGAACCCTCTTTGTCTTTGGTCTCATTGATTGTTTAATCAAAAGAAACACTGCAAGAACTATCAAAAGAAAAGCTACACCTCCTACAACCCCACCAATAATAGCTCTCTTCTTGCTTGAACCTATAAGACAGGAAAAAAAAACGACCTCATTTTCCACCCCCAACACTTAAAAACTTAGGATTAAATGGCAATTTTTCCCTTAAATTATAGGTTTAGGAGTGTCTAAAATTCTAAACTCATATTTGGTATAACATTCCTTTTTAACATTTAAAAATAGTGTAATATTGTCCCCTACTATTAACAAACGTTAACTTTAATCATTAGTTGATTAGATATTATAGAAAAAGAATTCAAAAATTACAAATAGAACTAAAAAATTATAAATTTTTATATAGTATTTATTTGTAATTTTCTGGGTCCTTTTGAGATCATTTTCTATAATTTTTTAATCAACTAACGATCAAAGTTAATTTTTGTTAATGGTAAAGGTGAAATTGCACCATTTTTAAATATTAAAGAGGAATATTGCACCAAAAATAAGTTTAGGGTTTTAGATGCTCCTGGACCTATAGGTTAAGGGTAAATGTTTCCTTTAACCTTAAAAATCATAAAACAAAAGGCAGATATTGAATCCTACAGATGAACTGAACCTTGTGTCAAGAAGGGTGTGAAATCACCAATGGTCTGGTTATCAGGAAAGAAGGAAGAGGTGGAGTATCTCATGAAGCAGCCAGCATCAAAAGCCCTACCCTCCAATGTGGGAAGGCACATCTGCAGATTGTTGTTTCCAACCTTCAAGCAATCAAGGCAGCCACTCTCTGTGACAGAATCAACACATTGAGCAACGGCATAAATAGTAGGACCATTGTTAGGTACTTGAGTCTTTGTGGCTGCAAAGAAACCAGGAATTCTGGGTGTTGCTGTTTGGAGATTCATTAGCACTTTTTCAACTGTTGAGTCAAATGTTGTCTTATCTCCTGATGTTTGCTTCCCACAAGCCATGCCATTCCCAGGTTGTGTTGTCTGATCATAGAAACTGCTGCTCTCATACCTAATGAATCATATCAGTGTATTCTACTTCAAATTTTCTCCATAGCAATCATACAGACCAATGCAATTAGTTAATGTTCCTAAAACTGGTCAATATTCTCAGTATACTCTCCATTCAATACAATTGACTCTTATTAATGAAGAAATAGACCAACTATATGAGGGTCAAGTAATTTTATTTGTTTATTTGTTAGGAGCATTTTCAGGATATACACAATAATTACTCTTAACATTTTGCAAAATGCTTTATAAAATGAAACATAAAACCTTAAAAAATATTCATAAAAAGAGGGAGTATGATTTGCAATAAGTATGCATCCACTTCCAGATCAGATGAGTAATCCTCCATGTTTTTCTTGGAATAAATCTAAGGTATGAATGAAGCTATTGAAATTGCAGATAATCAGTTGTAAATTTTAGTTAGATCACTTGGGAAAGCCAGACAAATCATCGGGGAAAGAAATTGTCTCTCAGTAGTTGTTTTATCCCATCGGCTTTTCCAGATAATTTACTTGGAATTCACATCTAATTACACACAACTTCAATTGTCTAGTTATGGAAAAAGAAGAAAAGTTTAAATTAATTCAAGTTGTGAACGAGACTATTGAAATCGAATATAATCAGTCGTGAATTTTAAATAAGGTAACTCACTTGAAAGTGAGATTGCTTCTCAGTGGTCCGTCAATGAAATTTCAATAATTGAAGGTTCATAATTAAAATTAACTAACTTAAATAGGATCCTTAATTGTCATTTTCTTTAAGTCTGTAGGTAGAAAACCTCATTTTCACATAAAAATCCCAAAAGGGTTTCTTAATTTCTTTTAATAAAATATTGTTTATATATGAACGAAATTAATTTTTTCACAAACTATTATAAAATGATAAGCCCACACTAGTTATGGAATTCACTATGTTAAATTGTGTTGTGTTATAAGCCAATTCAATTATTGACTCATGTAGCTTTAATTTTATCAAGCACCCAGAAGATAAATTACTTCAAACGAAGCATTATATATGCATCCATACAAGCATAGTTCCATGTTCCTTCCATTAAAAAATATAAAAATGTAAGATAAATTATTTCAAATTAATTATATTTTTTTATATTTACTCTTATTTAATATGGTGTTTAACCTTAAAATAAATATAAAGTGATTTATTCAATAAGAATACTTCTGAAAAAAAAAGATAATGATTACATATTAAAAAATTAAAAATATTTTTCAACATTCAACCTTTTAAAAAAATACCTTAAATTTTTTAATGGAGAGAGTATATGAATATGTATACATGTACGTGTGCGTGTATAGTATAAATTGAAAAGAATATAAACAAAGACAGGGAAAGATAGTGGAGTAGCATGACGGATAATTAAACATTTATTAATAAACTGAATTATGCAGCTTATTCAAAGAATGGAATCATGGATTAATTATTCTACTGTTTTGTGAGGGATGCTCTAACAATCATGCTCGTACCATTTTTGCTTCTTCCAAAAATGCACAGGCAATACTCTATCATTTAATTATGTTCAATGTTCAACAAAAACAAAGAAGTTATATTCAATGTATATAAATAGTTATTTAAATTATGATCCTTAGAAATGTTTTAAGATTATTTTACAAAGATTATAAAAAAAAAAAAGAAAGATCATTTCGCAAAAAGATTAAGATAAACTGAGATAGCTTGGGGACCCTGTTCATCCAATCATTCATCCCACATTGGACACCGATAAAAAACAATAAGATAAACCAAAAGAAGTTTATATATATAAACTAATTTTTATGTTCATACTTCTAAAACATTATAAATTTTTAGATAAAAAATTAACTATAGAGTTCCGTTTTGTAGCCTTGTAATTCTTGAATTCAAAGTAATGATTAGCCGAACCAAAATTGCTTAAAAAAATATTATAAAAAGAAAAATTACCATTGGCTTTGATTTAATTTTTATATACAAAATTTAAATTTTAGTAAAATAATCAAGGAAAAAATATATCAAGAAAAATAAAATAAAAATTTGTTATATATAAAATACATAATCCCCCATTTGTTAACTAACAATCCGCTAGTGCTAGATAAGTGATTCCCCACGAATTGTTGATAGATGCATCAAATATTGTTTTGTGTTTAATTTGGCTCAAAACTAATGAGATTGTGAGTTTTGTGGTAACTTTATTATTGAACAATATATAAGATAAGATTCTTTAAAAGGTAAATATAACTTTTAATTTTTGTATTTTACTTACATTTTACTTTTGATTTTATACTTTTTTTTTAATATTTTAAGTTCTTATACTTTTATTTTTTATTATTTCGGGTCCTTCTAAGGTCCCCATACCTTGATCATAGAGGAATCGAAAATAATAAAAAATAAAAGTATAGGATTTAAAATATTAAAAAAAGTATAGGGATCAAAAGTAAAAGCGAGTAAAATATAGGAATAAGAAATTATGTTTATTCATTCTTTAAATTTAAATGCAGATTTGGTGAACTTCTAATACACAACTTACATGGGAAGAAGTATATCATTTAAAATCGGATCATGTAGTTCACGTAACATATGCCTTAATTAAAATTCAGATGTTCGTTCCTTTGTCTTCAAATATAAAGGAAAATATCATTTTTTTATCTTCATAGTTTCATTAAGTTTTATTTTTAATTCTTATAATTTTTTGTATTATTTTCATTCCTTATAAGAATTAAAATTACTAAAAAAAATAAAATTATAGAGATCTAAAAAATGAAAATCACTTAATTTTTTTAAAATTATAAAAAATAAAAATACTGAGAAAAAAATTATGAAGACTAAAAACAAAATTCAAAGAATGATTATTGTATTTTCCCTGGATATAATCAACTGCCCACACATCTATTGAGCTGGTGTATCCTTATCATATCATAATATCAGAGGAAATATTAAAATAATAATTTGGTAGTAAATATCTTATCTATCCGCCTCAATTACTATTTATGGAAAGAAAAGTTAAACTTTGACTCCACCGTCCTTACCTGAGGAAGCAGCCGTCGTAGACGATGCGGGCACCGTTGGCTCCGGCAGAGCAGTTGCGAATCTGTGTGGCGGCGACGTCGAAGCAAGCGGCACAGTCGGCGGGGGAGAGGTAGTTTCTGCAAAGAAAAAGAGCGTAGACGGGGCTAGCTCCGTGGGCTTGCTTCACCGTGGCGAAGAAAGCTCTCTGCCTAGCCACCTTGTCTCTGAGCCCTCGAAACGTTGCGTTTAGGTTATCGTTGAAGCTGGCCAAGTTGGAGACATTGTACTGGCTACACCCTCTGTTCAAAAATAGGGTCTGGGGATCCGAAACGACGCCGTCGAAGGAGCAGCAGAAACATGACCAGAATATGAAGGTGGCTACGGGAAGGAGACTACGATCACGTTGAAGCATCTTTTGCTGCAGACGTGTATATCTATTAGGGTTGGCTGGCTCTGTGTGGTGAGGAAGAAGATGAAGGAGGAGGGAGAGAGTTGTGAGAACATCAGAAATGTTTGTGGAGTATATGTGTGTGTGTGTGTGTGTGTGTGTGTGAAAGTAAGGGGAAGGTATTTGCAGTTCTTCCTTTTTTCTCAAACACAAAAAGTTTATAAATAAAAGAATAGGCCCCCAGAAACATGTACCTATTAATTGGAATTGTAATTGTAATTGAAATTGAGGAGTTTCTAAAATTTTAAGTTGAAAAATCATAAAATAAAATGAAAAAGACTAATCTTTTACAAAATATTGAAAATAACTTAAAAAAAAAAGAATTACTACTTGTTTAAACAGTGAGTCCTTCTCCTCCTCATTATCTTGGGTTGATAATTTATATATGTAATAACAGGGAAAAAAGACATACTTATTTCTTTCCACTGTATTTTCCTTTAATTCAAATTATATTTTAATGATATAGATCTATCCACCTTAATAGGGGGAAGCTCACTTAAAATACAAAGGAAGAAAATATAAAGTTCGATAAATAGATAGACATAAAGCCTTGGGCAATAAAAAGAAGGTGGCAGTGTCGAGGCATTTCGAAGGGATAAGAGGGAACAAGGTCTTTTATTGTCACGTCATGACTAATTTTCAGAAGAAGATAGAGGAAGAAGAAATTACTTGTCTAATTTAGTTTCGTAGCTAATTGATTATTCTCCCTCATTTTAATGCTTTGCTTATATAAACAAATATTTTATTCTCCCACTATAATAAAGGACAAGACTCATGCATTTAATTTTATATATTTAATATAATTTTATCTAATCAAATAAAGACAAGTGAATTTTAATGTATTAATAATATCAATAATAAGAGTTTGTATGTGATGGAATAAATATTTTATAAAATGTCTACATGTTTTAATTTAATTGAAAACAATCACCTTTAGTATATAAATTTGTAAGTGTACAAGTTTTTTTCCTTATAATAAGATCATGTTACTAATATTATTAAAGGTTAATATGCAAGTTGGACATTAAACTATACGTTCAGGGGCGAGTTGAACTTTAAACTCATATTTATTTCATTTTAAATCCAAATAATTAAACTTAAAGTAATTTTGCCCCTATTGATAAATTAAAACAAACACCATTAATTTTTTTTTAAAATGGGTCTTGATGTGAAATTCTCACAAATTCCACCTTTCCACTCTCTCCTACATTCTTTCAAGAAAAATTACACATCGAGCGATATTTAAAAAAAATAACAGGAGTTTATTTTAATTTAATAGTGGGAGTGAAATTGTTCCATGTTTTATCATTTAGAGTTTAAAATATACAAAGTATGAGTTTAGAGTTTAAATTGTCCTTGGATTTATAGTTCAAATTTCAAATTACATATTAACCTTGTTATTAATATGTTAAAATTCACTTATCTATTAGATAAAATATATTAAGTATACTTGTCTTTCTAATTTTCCTCTAATAATCTATAGAAATTTATGCCATTTCAATATATTTTCCTACAATTTTATATGCTTTTAGATAAAGTTGTGCATACTTTTAGTACATATAATAAAAACAATGTGCATTTCTCGTACTTGGACTTAAATGACACAATCTTAGTCTAAATTGTGTATAATTTTTATTTTGGTTAGGATTAAACTTGAACCTTACAAAAATTACTTGTCTTCTTAGATTGTTAGAGCACCATTTGAGAAGTAAAGAAGGAGTTATAAAGTTATTAGACTAAAAAATAATAATATAAAGAGTGAAGAATTAAGATTTAGTCTATTTTCAGCCTTAGTTGAAAGCCAAAACTAGAATATAATAGAAGTACTCTAGCCACATCCAAGAAATCATAAGCTGTAGCCAAAATGCTCACAAAGTGTTTTAGCTGCAATTAAGGATAAATTGGCTGCGGCTAAAAGATGTTTATTGAAGTTAGGCATTTTGACATCAGACTTGGAGCTAGGGTTACATATATGAATTTTTAAGACTTATGAAGGCATTTTTCAAACTTTAACCCTCCATTGGAGCTTGGTGTGCTAGGGTTTTGGAGTTGGAGGAACTTGGAATAAGAGAATGAAGATTTGAAGACATTTGAAGCTCCATTCTCTTAGTTTTTTTGTTTGTTTTCCTTTCATCTCTTATATTCTGATATGAGTTTAAATATTTTGTGCATTTTGTAACTTGTGATGATTATAAATAGCTAAATACTTTGCTCTAGGATTATTTGAAACCCTTGTATGGATTAATATTAATTTATCCTCTCTTTTTTTTATTAATAATATAGAAGTGTTTAATTTGCTCTTTTCTTAATACTTTTAAGTGATTAGTCACCATTTAGTTAATTTGTTCACGTGAATGATATTTGAGAGGGTTGGGTGTAGAACTTATTTAGAGTAGTGTAAGAACTCAAAGCTTGCATGGTGAATGGATAGTTTTGCTAGTAAGATAGATATATTCTTGCTAGTCTTGCATAGTTACATTAGGATTAGTGTTTAAAATAAGATTTTATTCATTATAACAAGATATTGAGCAACTGATTTAACTAAATATTTCTTCATGATTTGAGAGAGCTTGTTCAAGTATTTTTTAAAACCCTAGTTTAACAATTATTTTTATTAAAAACATTTATGAGAGGAGGTTATTTTAGTAATATGAGATGTAAGGGAGATAAATAATTCTAGATCCTAATTTATGCTTAAAGTTTGAGAATCATTTGCTTTTCTTCATTTTTTAATTATAACATAAGTTTCAAAATCAATTTTATCCAACCGATTGTATTTTTTTTTTAACTTGATTGAATTTACTTAATCTTTTACTTGATCATATTTTTAATATAAATCTTCGTGAGAATAATATTCTACTTACATTATACTACATGTCACTGCTTGTGTACTTGCAAAAAGCACAACACCCTCCATTATTTTATTTCTTTGGTAAATTTTTCTCTCTCTTTATCTCTTATTGATGAAGGATATTTTTAAAAGTGTATTAAAAATTAAAGTTATAAGCTATATTTAATAAATTTGATTGGTAATTTTGTTAAAAAATATTTTATAAATTGGATGATATAATTTTATTTCACTGCATCTAATTTTTAATTAGGTTCTCACATTGATATTGAAATTTGAACTCATGATTTTGCATAATATGAGCTAAATTCTTAATAATTGACTAATTTTTATTGGTATATATATTCATTCTTTTAATTTCAAAATATAGCATTAATACATTTTTTTGACTAAATATAGCATTAATACATAAAAAAATGGAGCATTAATTATCTTTTGGTGGGCTTCAGCAATGTATTGGGCCATTCCCCCTTCCTTTTACTTGATAGCCTGTATTGATGGGCTTTTGTGATGTTTTGCGCTCGGCAGCACAATCTCGCGCTGACAACAAATAAAATAGCAACGGATGCTCGTTCGAACAGTTAAGGGCTTAGATAGTTAAATTAGGGTCTCGTGTTTGAGTTTTAAGGTACGCAGATGTGCAGTTGAGCATATAAAGTGTGTTTTGTTAGTGGTACTTGCAAAACTATCATGTTAAGGGCTCAACTTAAGCAGAGATATCAGGATTAGTCTGGCATGGGGTGAGGGGATAATGAACCCATAATACCTACACTCTCCAAGATATCGAGTGGGAAATCACAAAAAAAATACATATATGTGTTATAAAAAGAATTGCTTTCAATAGAATATGTATATATATGCAATAAAAAAATACAAATATATTAATCCTTTAATTCTTTAACTTTTAACTTACTTATAACTTAGTCTTTTAATTATGACTCATTGCGATTTAATCTCTTAACTTTTGATTTACTTATGACTCAACCCCTTAACTTTTCAATGTCAATAAAATTTGTCCTTTTTCTATTAGTTCTATATTTTTATGTCGGCTCATTCCCATGCCAAAGAGCAAGATGATGATATTTGAGTAGAGCTGAGAATACGGAGGGGCCCGAGCCCTAAAGTCCTGAGGCCCCTAAAGCCCGATTCTCCTTTTTTAACCCATTTCTCAAGTCCGGCCCTTATGTGAAAGGTTTAGGGCTGGGCCACAAGCCCTTTTTAAAAAAATAAAATAATAAAATAAAATAAAATATTATAAATTAATTAAAATATTTAAAATTTAAAAAATCAAAATCTCATAATTTTTTAGAAATTAAACAATACACATTGAGAATTCTAGTAATAAAATTTAAATCTTGGTTAAAAATAATTCATTTTTTATAAATACACAAACATAATAATTATAGAAAAATAAAAAATATCAAAAATTTTATTCTATACATTGATATTTATAAAATTATATTAAATTAATTTTGAAATAAATTAAAATTAATAATAATATAATGCGTGTAGGATGAGGTGAGTAGGTTATTGACTTCAAACATGTGTTTCATTAAAAAAAATAATATAATAAGCTTAAAGGGCGGCTCTGCTCAAGCATTTTTTTACAGGACTTATCACCTAAGCCCTCAAGCCTAATTATTTTAAAAAAAATTCATTTTTAAAATTGAACTCATTTAAATAGGACCATCAAGCTCAACCCTTATTCCTAGTTCTATATTTGAGAGCAAAATATAATCATTTCTTTTATTTTTCTTATTTAATAAGGATATTTTTTTAAAAATTTAAAAATAAGAATAGAATCATAAACGAGTTAAAAGTTGAGAGATAAAGTTATAACGAATTATAGTTGATGGACTAAATCATAGTGAGTTATAATAAAGTGACTGAGTTATAAGTTGAATTAAAAAATTATTTTTTAAAAAATATATATACAATCGACGGGAATTGGACTCAATAGAAGCAACTAAAATTTGAATTCTTGTTTAAAAAAGCACAAATTTTTAATATTTAATGTGTCTCGAATAATTTTGTATCAAAGAAGACACTTATCCACCATAAAAAAGTACATACATGTTTTACATCGCGTACGCATCTGACATCACATTCCTTTTCTCTAAAAATAGGGCACTGATTACCAATTGGCGGCATGGGTGATGCACTGGGTTTGACCCACTTGGACTTGATCTCGTAGTAATTCTTGTGCAATTTTGACAAAATAAAAATTTATATTACTTTTAAATTCAAAAGAAAAATATTGCAAAATTTACAC